AATCCCCTATTATTGTATTGCCATTAATTTCTCCATTTACATATTTAACACATGCTTTACATAATATGTGCTCCTCAAATTAGGTGCACTTATGTTTAAAAATTTTACATATTTTTGGATTAACACCTTTATTATTATATAATGCTCTTTTTGTGCTTTATTATAGGCTGATTTTGTCTAAAAAAGGTTTATCTTTAATTGGAGGATAATTGCTTTACAAAATTGTGTGTCTGCCATATATCAACACAAATCATCCATCAGTATACATATGTCCCCTTCTTCTTGAACTTCCCTTCCACCACCTTCCCCGGCGCACATTAAACACCAGGTCTGAGCCTCTTGAGTCATCCAGCAAATCCACAACGGTGATCTGCTTTACATATGATGATGTGTGTGTGCAGAGGCTGCTCTCTCAATGTGCCCCATCCTCCTGCTCCCCCACTGTGCCCACTGTGTCCTCTATGTCCTGTCTCCTTTGCTGCCCTGCAAATAAGTTCATCAGCATCATCCCTCTAGATTCCATCAAGTCTACTTTCCTACGTCAATATTGCTAACCTTGCTTTCTTGTCATTTCCGTTTGAAAGGAATATCTTTCAGTCTGCATTCATGCATTTTTTATCTCTGAGGTAAATCTTCTGTAGACAGCACATCAATTTTTAACCTAATCGCTATTTGATATTTTTGATTGGAGCATTTAGTCCGTTGATATTTAGAGTGATTATTGATGTTTGCACTTAACATTTTGTTACTTCTTTCTGGTTGTTTGTGTAGTTCTTCTCTGTTCTTTTCTTATTTTAGTCTCTTCACTGTGATTTAACAATTTTCTGTAGTATTATGCTTGTATTCCTTTCTATTATATATGAAAGTGAATGTGAAGCTGAAAGTCACTCAGTTGTGTCCTACTCTCTGTGACCCCATGGACTGCAGCACACCAGGCCTCCCTGTCCATCACCAAATCCTGGAGTCCACCCGAACCCATGTCAATTGAGTTGGTGATGCCATCCAATCATCTCATCCTCTGTCGTCCCCTTCTCCTCCTGTCTTCAAACTTTCCCAGCATTAGGGTCTTTTCCAGCGAATCAGTTCTTCACATCAGGTGGCCAAAGCATTGCAGTTTCAGCTTCAACATCAGACATTCTACAATTTACCTGATAAATAGTTCAAGCAATAGTAATAATAATGTTAGCTCAATTTGAGAAAGAAAAGACAAACATACTGAGAACTTCAGCAAAAAAACAAAAAAAGTTAGAAAATATGAAAATTAATCAGCCAGAGATGAGGGATGCAAAAAGATTAGGTGAAAGTGTTACCTATCTAGATCCTGAAGGCATGTCCTTGGGAGGGAGCATCACTGTGCAATCTGTTCATGTGTGTGATTGAGTCTTCTTTAGGGGTCTGTTCACATGTCAGGCTGAGTTTTCCTTTGGGCTCTGTTCACGTGTGGGGCTGAGCCTTCCTTTGGGGTCTGTTCACATGTCAGAATGAGTCTTCCTTTGGGGTCTGTTCATGTGTGGGGCTAAGCCTTCCTTTGGAGTCTGTTCACATGTCAGGTTGAGCCTTCCTTTGGGGTCTGTTCACGTGTGGGTCTGAGCCTTCCGTGGGGGTCTGTTCACATGTCAGGCTGAGTCTTCCTTTGGGGTCTGTCCACATGTCAGGCTGAGCCTTCCTTTGGGGTCTGTTCATATGTCAGGCTGAGTCTTCCTTTGGGGTCTGTTCACATGTCGGGCTGAGCCTTCCTTTGGGGTCTGTTCACTTGTCGGGCTGAGCCTTCCTTTGGGGTCTGTTCACTTGTCAGCTGAGTCTTCCTTGGGAATCTGTTCACATGTCGGGCTGAGCCTTCCTTGGGGGTCTGTTCACATGTGGGGCTGAGCCTTCCTTTGGGGTCTGTTCACATGTCGGGCTGAGTCTTCCTTTGGGGTCTGTTCACATGTCAGGCTGAGTCTTCCTTGGGGTCTGTTCACATGTCGGGCTGAGCCTTCCTTTGGGGTCTGTTCACATGTCGGGCTGAGTCTTCCTTTGGGGTCTGTTCACATGTCAGGCTGAGCCTTCCTTTGGGGTCTGTTCACGTGTGGGGCTGAGCCTTCCTTTGGGGTCTGTTCACATATCAGAATGAGTCTTCCTTTGGGGTCTGTCCACATGTCAGGCTGAGCCTTCCTTTGGGGTCTGTTCATATGTCAGGCTGAGTCTTCCTTTGGGGTCTGTTCACATGTCGGGCTGAGCCTTCCTTTGGGGTCTGTTCACATGTCAGGCTGAGTCTTCCTTGGGGGTCTGTTCACATGTCAGGCTGAGCCTTCCTTTGGGGTCTGTTCACGTGTGGGGCTGAGCCTTCCTTTGGGGTCTGTTCACATATCAGAATGAGTCTTCCTTTGGGGTCTGTCCACATGTCAGGCTGAGCCTTCCTTTGGGGTCTGTTCATATGTCAGGCTGAGTCTTCCTTGGGGATCTGTTCACATGTCGGGCTGAGCCTTCCTTTGGGGTCTCTGCTGACCGCTGCAGGTGTGAGGAGGGAGTCTTAGGCTCACTGTCAGTCCCTGCCCTGGCAGTGACTGAGGACTGGGGTCCTGGAGCATGGGCCCTGAGGGGATTTGACTTCCCCCTGGTACAACAGCCGTTTCTGCCTTAGGGGAGGGTGTGGCCAGGGCCCCAGGCTTTGGGACTACAGTTCTGAGCTGTTCCACTTTTCCTGTGGTGTGTGTGCCTTAGTTAGGAGCTGAGTAAACGCCAAGTGGTGGAACGCGGAGCTGTATCTGTTGCTTCCTAAGAGTGAAGAAGCACACCTTCTGGCGATGCCAGTCTCTACCCGGCTGGAGGCAGGGTCAGGGCCCACGCCGGCTTAGTTCGCTCCGTGTATGCGCACACCTGTTGGCGACGGTGGCTTCCGCCTTAGTGAAAAGCAGAGCCGGAACCGGAAGGGCTGAAGCAGGAAGCCAGCGCAGACCGAGGGGCATGCTGGGGTTGGCCCTGCAGAGCGCCGGGCTGTTTTCAGTCGGCCCCCTCCTCGCTGGGACTCTACGCGAGCGAATCTGTGCATGCTCTCCCCAAGAGTGGCGGTGCAGTCTCTTCCAGCCCTCTGACAGACCCCACTGGTCTTCTAACCAAGCGAAGGGACTCACATTTTGGTATTGAACCCAGTGCTGAGGTGCTTAATCTGTGGCTCGGATCCCTCCCTCTCCAGGGAGAACCACTGAGCCTGTGGATTTCTGCCCCCTTTGACTTGCCCTGCTAGTGGTTTGGGTCCTGACTGCGTTGCTTATTCCTTCTACCAGACCTCTTATGGATCTTTCTTTACCACCTCGTTTGTGTAAGAACTGTTCTGCTGGTCTGCATATGGTTCTCAGCAATGCCTGTTGTATCTGAGGTTGTAATTTGATGGGTCTCTAAGAGGAGTGAGTTCAGAGTCCTCCTACTCTTCCATGTTGATCCCTCTTCCCATCTCAGTTTATTTTTTGACTGTAACTTTAGCAAAAGTGAGAGACATAGCTTAAAGACGTGGTGTGTGTGTGGGTGCTAATTTTCTTCAGCTGAGTCTGGCTGTTTGACCCCATGGACTATAGGTTGCCACACTCCTCTGTCCGTGGGATTCTCCAGGCAAGAATACTGGAGGCAGTTGCCGTGACCTTCTCCAAGGGATCTTCCCATTTCAGGGATAGAACCCCAGTTTCTTACATCTCTTGCCTTGCATGTGGGTTCTTTACCACTAGCACCACATGGTAGGAGTAGGGAAAGGCAACTGAACAGTGGGTGAATTATGTATATCATTCAGATTGAATTGTGCCAAAACCAAAGCACATGTATAGGATGATATTACACCAACTGTATTTTATATGTTACATAAAATAATTTTATGATAATCACAACTTTATTTATATAAAGGTTTGCATATTTTTATTATTTATAACCTAATAAAATAATTGGCTAAATCAACAGTAACACAATGAGGATACTCACTTGATTAACTACCAATGAACAGTGCTATAGAGGAGTCACTTGTTATAATTGCTACTATCTATGTACCTCAAAAGAATGAAAAAAAAATGAATGAAATAAACAGTATATTTGTAAAGCATATGAATTTATATGTAGGAGAAATCTCTTGAGAAGCATGAGATACATGTCTTTTTAAATTAAAGATTCATTCATTGTAGTGACATTTTCTCTTTTCCAATTCTATTTTAAGCATCTCAAAAATTATTTTGTCATGCAATTAATTACCAACTGTACCTAATCCCCTGGTCTTACAAAAGTTGTTTTCCTTTTTTCCTCTCACCTTCTTTCTGTATTCCCTTGATATGTTAGCTTCTACTAGCCTCCTTAAGTAGGGTGTTTGTTTCCCCCAGAGACTGGAAAGCAATATAAAGGAAATGGAAGATTGATATGAAAGAACACCTGTGCAGTAATGAGATAAAGCAAGTAGTCTGAATGAATAAAATCATGGAACACCTAACCCATTTGCTTCCTTAAATTTGCAGAGAAAAGTAGTATATTAACTGGTTTGGTAAACAGCAATCCTCATAGAGAATATAACTTTATTCTCCTTATTCTTTGAGACATTTTTCTAAAAGGGAATTTGGCAGTAGTGTACAATTAAGATTTTATAGGAAAGAAAATCTTTAACTAGCGATCTGTATTCTTTGGTTGTAGTAACATGGGGAAGGAAGCCTAGTGGTGATATTAAATTATATTACCTGAATTTTTTAACCAGAACACTTGGAGTAGGACCTAACATGTGATTTTATAATTGCCTCTCAGTTACAGTCTCTTAGTGAGGAGTTTTTGTGAAATCAGTAAATAAAACTGTACAGTAATTGTAGTGGCACATATTCCTAGAAACAGATATCTACAAGGTTTTAGATTCAGTAGAACTTGTTTTAAGTGATTTATATGTGTAATTGACTTTAAGCCCTTTGGAATGAATCATAGCAGAGTAGATACTTTTCCTTTAGACTACTAGGTTAGAGTGTCTTTATGAAATTAATTATATTTTCATAGGTAAGTGACATGTGATTTGATGAATTATCACATCTGAAAAATCCACAAGGAGGGCATCTGTGTGCAGATCACTGCTTCTCTTAACCCAGTTGTCAGGTAAGTAGTCTCCTTTTATGCATTCCACTTGTTATAGAAACAAAAGATGGATGAGGTTTAATAGTTTAAATGCAGTTCTCTATGGAGAAAAAGAAAGGATCATATCTATCAGACTTATTTTCAGTCAGGGGATCTGACATTTCTTAAAATGCAAAAATGTGTCTATGTGGTATCATAGGGTCTGCTGACATAGCAATCTCTCAAGTAATTTGTGTGTATCAAATAGGAAAGGGATTATCACTGCTTTTATGTGTGAATTATTTTTTAAACATAATTTGTCTATTTGGATGTTGCTATCTAGTGTAATCATCTGATGCAATTTATCTGAGAATATGCTCCCCAAATATTTAATAATACATGAACTGGATTTTGCTTACTCTGTGCTCAAAATATTAATTAATCTATGGCCCATTAAAGTTAGATAAGATGTAAGAACTTTCCTCAGCACCACAGTCTACGCAGACACAAATTACCAATAAGCTTTAGCATTCAATATGAACCATACTTTTTCTGTTGTAATGTTAAAGAACCTATAAAAAAGATTTTCAAACCCCAGTCTCCCATATTGCACATAGATTCTATACTGTCTTAGCCAACAGGGAAGCTCAAAAAATTTTCAAGTTATGGTAAATCATACCATTCTAGACTTGCTAAACATCTTACTCCTGGATGAAAAAATTATTATTATTATCACCCATTCTTCCCCAAGACATTATAAAAATAGCAGTTGTTTAGTTGCTGTCATGTCCAGATTTTGCAGCCCTGTGGACTGAAGCATGGCAGGCTTCTCTGTCGTTCACTATTTCCCAGAGATTACTCAAACTCATGTCCACTGAGTCGGTGATGCCATCTAACCATCTCATCCTCTGTTGCCCCCTTCTCCTCCTGCCTTCAATCTTTTCCAGCATCAGGGTCTTTTCCAGTGAGTCAGCTTTTTGTATCACATGGTCAAAGTACTGGAGCTTCAGCATCAGTTCTTTCAATGAATATTCAGAGCTGACTTCCTGATATCCTTGCAGTCCAAGAAACTCTGAAGAGTCTTCTCCAGCACCACAATTTGAAAACATCAAATCTTTAGTGCTCAGCCTTCTTTATGGCCCAGCTCTCAAATCTATATATGACTGCTGGAATAAGCATAGCTTTGACTATATGGACTTTTGTCAGTGAAGTAATTGCTCTTTAACACACCGTTTACATTTGTCATGACTTTCCTTCCAAGGAGCAAGCATCTTTTAATTTTATGGCTGTAGTCATTGTCTGCAGTGACTTTGAAGCCCAGGAAAATAAAATCCACCAGTTTCTCCCCTTCTATTTGCCATGTAGAGGTGGGACTGGATGCCATAATCTTAGTTTTTTGTTTTTTGTTTTTTTTTTAATGTTGAGTTTCAAGCCAGCATTTTCACTCTTCTTTTTTCCACCTTCATCAAGAAATTATTTAGTTTCTCTTCACTTTTTGCCCTTAGAATGGTATCATCTGTATATCTGAGGTTATTGATATTTCTCCCAGCAATCTTGAGAATAGCTATTTTTATTCTATTCAATTATGGATTACACATGAAAGTTTCCTCATGTTTGAAATCTTAAGAAGTATATAATAAAAATATCAAATATCTGTAATTACACTAAAATCTGAATTTATTAAACCAGTTCCTATTTATCAATTAAGTATAATTTTCCAGCACTTTGCTTTTATCCTTACCAGACATACATAACCTAGACAGAGTACCCTTTTGTCCTTAGGGTACAAAAGCTGAATTAAACTTCTTAGCTTATTTAAATCAGGTTCAAAAGCTAATCAGAACTGGGGTCATTAAAATATTCAAAGAGGTAGAATGCAAATGTAAAATTAATTTGATTTGATGAGAAAAATAATAAATTATATCAGGTAAAGCTGAATTAAACTTCTTAGCTTATTTAAATCAGGTGCAAAAGCTAATCAGAACTGGGGTCATTAAAATATTCAAAGAGGTAGAATGCAAATGTAAAATTAATTTGATTTGATGAGAAAAATAATAAATTATATCAGGCATCATGCATAACATAAGAACAAAACGTTACAAAATATACTGCATCAAGGAATTTGAAAATAAAAGTTGCATGGAATTGAAATAGCAGGCAACAACATAAAAGAAATGGTAACTACAAAAAAGACACAAATTAAATCTGTAATTAAGTGTGCTTATCTATGCTATTTCCTCACTTATATAAAGGCAGATTCGATTTGATTTTCACATTAAAAAAGACAAATGACCTTAAAACTGACCCCTTCATAAAAATGCAGCAAACTTGTTAGCCAATTTAATGATCTGTATGTGAAGTCAAAATGTTATAATCTCCCATTAGATGTCACCTATTGATTTCTTGTGCTCATAATGACAGTAAATGAGTAGATAGAGGTTAAAAGACAAAAGTTATGATTTAAAGAAAATGAACACTTCAGAAGCATAATCAGTATAAGACCCTGATTAATAAAAATGATATTGAGCTAGTCAATTAATGTTGACATTTATTTTCCATCATAAAATGAAAAGGATGAAAAGGTTGATCCTATTCATTGCATGCTACTAATCAGGCCTAAGGAAATCTCATACTTTCCTATTTCTAACATCTTTGCTTCATATATTCCACTTCCAATTTAATGAGTTCAGTTATTAGATTCTATGCAAAGGCAGCAATGAAAACTCAGTTAGGTAACCTTTTCATATGTACTGTTTTGAAATTTTGGGCATATATTCAAAATCATTTTCTTTAAAAAAGAAGGCTGTAAGTCTGTATGTTTTGCAAGCAAATGATGGAATTTTCTAATATCCTCAGTTTCCTCAAATAACACATTCAAGTTTATAGTACTATCCTCTAGATAAAAAGTTGTCTCAATTTGTTTTACAGAAAAATAGAATCTAATTATAGGGTTAGAAAGTGCTTCTAGAAATTCAAAAAGCTGAATATTCTTATTTTAGTAGATAATGCATACGTTCTTGATCAAATCTCACTTAGAAAAGTAATAATAGTTAGAAGAACTGTCCAAACATGTGAAATCTGGGAACACATATGTTGATACTAATTTTAGTGAGGAAACATACACCATTTCAGTGAATAAACCTTGATATAAGATGAGATATTTTATTTTAAACTAAAGTAGCTGATTAGCTGTGTGAACTTTGACTATTTGCATAACATTTCCAAACTCGTTTTATAAAGTGAGGAAGCTAATGGTGTCTATATAATTAGAATATTTTAATATTAAATTAATGCATGCAATACACATATCAAGGTGCTTCAAGGATGAAAGGCCTTCATTGATTAACAACAGCTTAGTTACTACTTTTGATAATACTTTGCTTTGAAGAAGAAAGTTCATAGCTTTTGTGTTTCAGTAGGTAAAATTTACCATTTTCACAAATAACAAAATTATTTATGTACTGAGTGCATCTATATTTGGTGAAATAAAACTAAGTGATGTTTGGTTTAATTACAGGTCAATTTTAATGCATATAGATATCCAATTCATTCAGCACAATTTTAAAAGGCCAGACAGCCTCCACTAATGTTTTTTCAAATTATTTAAAAATTATTTGAGCATAAACACTTCCAAGATAGTGAGAATATATTCTTTAAAATTGCTGCAGCATAAAAATAAAAGCATAAGCAACAGTTTTTGACATTAACTTTTTAAGAAACCTACAAACTAACTAAAATTGTCACAGATTAAGAATGATTTGTTAAGAAAAATGGCTTAATTGCTCTAAGAACAATTATAAATTTGTAAGATTAACATTTCCTCCTCTCCAGATCCATGGTAGCCTTGAAAATTAATACTTTTCAACATTCATAACTATGAGAACAGAACAACCTGACAGCTAAAGGAAAGGATAAATGAGTTTAAAATTCACACAAATTTGCATTTCCAGATTGTCATTATATGACTGATATGACAGCTCCATGAAAAGCTTTGTTTTCAGAACCTGTGTTTATTTGATTTGATCTAGAGTTACCTCTGTGGGAAAAAACCAAAACAAAACTCTATTTCCCTGTTACTTTTCAAAAACAATCAGAGACAACTGTTCAAAATCACAACTGTCTGAAGCAGTGAGATCATCTGGGGCTAAGAAAAGGCTGGCCAAAAAGAAAAGGCTGGCCAACAATCGTAAGTATAGGAAAATAAGATGTTTGTAGAACACTTGGAATATATTTATAGTATTCCTTGATTCATAAGACCATCAAAATATTCAGGCTTGTGCACATGCCCAGGATGGACTTGAGAAAAGCCCCATCACTCACCTTTGGCTGAGTTTAAGACTATGGACACGCAGAACGCGATGCGGACGTCAGAGTTGTGAAATGCCTGCTGGAACAATGGCTGTGTGGCCCTGCACACACACAGCGCCCCTCTACCACCGTCCCCTCCAAAGATGGGAGGTTTATTGAGTCAGAAACTTGAAGAACGTTTCTGTTTAGTGCTGACTGTGCTAAGTGAGTGGAGACTGCAGAGATCACACCGAGAAATAACACACTTTATGGAAGTTTTCTAGCAAAGTCTCTAAACAAATAAATAGTAATAGTAGCAACAAACAAATGCAAACCATGAGCACAAGAAAAAGCTCATTTCCAGAGTCACCACAGATTATTTTTAATATTCTGTTTACCAACAAAAATTCAAGAGAAAATTAAAGAAATAAGAAAGCATGAACAATACACAGGCAAAAAAGCAATCGATAGAAACTGCTCTTCAGAAAGACCAGATGGTAAACTTGTTGAGATAAAGATTTAAATCAACTGTTAAATACATGGTTAGAGAGCTAAAGGAAATCATGTCCACAGTGTGGAAGTAGGCGAATAATGTCTCACCAAGTAGAAAATAGCAATAAAAAGACATAGCAATAAAAAAAATTAGCAAAAATATTAGAATGAAAGGGATCTAGGAAAAATTTGATAATAGTAGCTAAGGACATCAATAAATTATTTTCAATAATGAATAAAACAACTGGCAGGAAATCAAAAAA